ACAGAATATTGCGCACGGGTACTACAAATCATAATTTGAATGGAAAAAATGCAAAGAACCACTGTATTAGCAGTATAATGGAATCTGTATACACCCAGAAGGAACATTCTCTTAATGATCTCAAATCAAGATGCCCAGTTCAATCTTTAATGTTACAGACAATTTGTGGTTAAGAGGACTCTCAATTTCCCTCTTATTACTCCATTCTTTGAATGTTACATAGTTCTAACCAGGGTCTCGTACCTCAATAAAAATTATGTCAGGATATTTGCATAAGAATGAGAAGTAAAACCTTCTGTAACCTCATGGAAATGTCTTGTTCATGATGCATGAGAGCCTCTAAAAAGAATATGATGTTCATGAAGTACTATGTTTCCTTGATTTAACACTTGTTCAACCACTGTTTAACAGAAGCAAGCAGCTGCCTTGTTAATGGCTGACATGCCTGAGATTACTTCAGGAATGCAAAGTTGTAGATCAGTATGTGTCCTCTTCAAGTTGATCATAAAGAAAGCTGTACGAGTCGAGAAGTATACATTATAGTTAAGTCTATCTTAATATTGGAATAATGCCAATGTCTATGTGTGATCCCTCGTTGTAGACTACTGTTCTGCAAGAACGGTACCGTAGTTACGATTTTCAATACTTTCCTCACAAATCTTTTTTATGTTTGGCTTAAGTAATTAATGTGGCATACATTTGGTATAATAGGGCACTAAGTTTAACCGAAGGTACGTCAAAACGAAACACTTTGTAATCTTATATAAGAGATATTTGTTAATTTTGATATTCTATCGCGGCCATCTTGGAAAAAGCCACTATATTGAATTTTCAAGTTAGGGTCCATAGCTTACATTGTTCGAAGCACCCAGCACTACTACCATGCCAAATTTGACCTTATATAAATGATCTTTGTTGATTTTGATATTTTATGGCGGCCATCTTGGAAAAGCCGCCATATTGCAATTCTAAGGGAGCTACCATTTGATTTTTAGGGGGGGAGGGGGCTAGGATGAAAAATTTAGTTGTAATCTCTGTCCTGCCTTTTTCCACTCTATTCGGTCCTGCTTTTTTTTATTAGTTTATCCTGACTTTTTTTTACATAAATTGTCATCCTGCAATTATTTTTTTTTGGCAAATCTGCTCATCCTGCCTTTTTTTTTACTTAAAACTATCCTGCCTTTTTTTCAAATTTCATTCTAGTCCCCATAAAAATCAAATGGTAGCACCTAAGGTGGGTCCATAAATAATGTTTTTCGAAACACCCAGCACTACTGCCATGCCAAATTTGACTTTATATAAGTGATATTTGTTTATTTTGATATTTTATGGCGACCATCTTGGAAAAGCCGCCATATTGCAATTTTAAGGTGGGTCCATAACTTACATTGTTCGAAGCACCCAGCACTACTACCATGCCAAATTTGACCTTATGTAAGGGATATTTGTTGATTTTGATATTTTATGGCGGCCATCTTGGAAAAGGCCGCCATATTAAAATTTCAAAGTGGGTCCATATTTTAAATTGTTATAAACACCCTGGACTACTACCATGTTAAATTTGGTGCTTTAATCATCAAACTCACAATTTTGTCACCGATCTGCTAGACTAAAAGAGGTAGTCACAAACTTTATATCAGCTAATGGTAGTCACAAGCTCAATATCAGCTAGGGTTAGTCACACATTTAGTATCAGATAGTGGTAGTCACGAACCTAGTACCAGTAAGTGGTATTCACAAGCATTGTATCAGAAAGAGGTAGTCACAAACTTAGTTTCAGAAAGAGGTAGTCACAAACTTAGTATCAGCTAGTTTTATCCACACATTTAGCATCAGAAAGAGGAAGTAACAAATTTAGTGTCAGAAAGAGGTAGTCCCAAACTGCGTATAACCTAGTGGTAGTCACAAATTTAGTGTCAGAAAGAGGTAGTCACACACAAACTTAGTGTAACCTAGTGGTAGTCACAAATTCAGTGTCAGAAAGAGGTAGTCACAAACTTAGTTTCAGAAAGAGGTTGTTACAAGCTTAGTATCAGAAAGCGGTAGTCACAAACTTAGTATCAGCTAGTGTTAGTCACACATTTAGTATCAGATAGTGGTAGTCACAAAATTAAATTAGTATTATATAGTGGTAATTATAAACTTTCAAGTATCAGATGGTGGAAGTCACAAACTACTCCCGTAATTACGTGATAAGAAGTTTTTTATCTCGTTATTACGAGATAATTATCTCGTAATTACGCGATAGTTTTCTCGTAATTACGAGATACTTACTTATCTCGTAATTACGAGATAAATAAATTTTTTTTGTCCAAATTTCATAAAACTCCATGTAGGTTTGACAAAGTTATTGATGTCAAAAAAAAAAATTTAACCACAGACTGAACCTAAATGTTGACGCAGTGAAGACGATGCTGACGACGGAATTCAAACACAAGAGGATTTTATAATGCTGTTTTCATTTTGCTTACCCTGGTATTTATATTTTACTTATTTTGTACTTTATCAAAGAGTTATGCTATACAGTATGTACTATCAACTACAAAAACTTGTTTGCTGGCGACTTTGAGATTTATTAGTATGTTGGTTTGAATTTTTGAGTCAGTTTTGTTGTATATCTGTATGTTTACACAGTCTTGTTGTATATCTGTATGTTTACACAGTCTTGTTGTATATCTGTATGTTTACACAGTCTTGTTGTATATCTGTATGTTTACACAGTTTTGTTGTATATCTATATGTTTACACAGTTTTGTTGTATATCTGTATGTTTGGTCAGTTTTGTTGTATATCTGTATGTTTACAAAGTCTTGTTGTATATCTGTATGTTTAGTCAGTTTTGTTGTATATCTGTATGTTTACAGTTTTGTTGTATATCTGTATGTTTACAGTTTTGTTGTATATCTGTATGTTTACACAGTTTTGTTGTATATCTGTATGTTTACAGTTTTGTTGTATATCTGTATGTTTACACAGTTTTGTTGTATATCTGTATGTTTACAGTTTTGTTGTATATCTGTATGTTTACACAGTTTTGTTGTATATCTGTATGTTTACACAGTTTTGTTGTATATCTGTATGTTTACAGTTTTGTTGTATACATGTATCTGTATGTTAACAGTTTTTGTTGTATATCTGTATGTTTACACAGTTTTGTTGTATATCTGTATGTTTACACAGTTTTGCTGTATATCTGTATGTTAACAGTTTTGTTGTATATTTGTATGTTTACACAGTTTTGTTGTATATCTGTATGTTTACAGTTTTGTTGTATATCTGTATGTTTACAGTTTTGTTGTATATCTGTATGTTTACAGTTTTGTTGTATATCTGTATGTTTACAGTTTTGTTGTATATCTGTATGTTTACAGTTTTGTTGTATATCTGTATGTTTAGTCAGTTTTGTTGTATATTTGTATGTTTACACAGTCTTGTTGTATATCTGTATGTTTACATAATTTTGTTGTATATCTGTATGTTTACACAGTTTTGTTGTATATCTGTATGTTTACACAGTTTTGTTGTATATCTGTATGTTAACAGTTTTGTTGTATATCTGTAAGTTTACACAGTTTTGCTGTATATCTGTATGTTAACAGTTTTGTTGTATATCTGTATGTTAACAGTTTTGTTGTATATCTGTAAGTTTACACAGTTTTGCTGTATATCTGTATGTTAACAGTTTTGTTGTATATCTGTATGTTTACACAGTTTTGCTGTATATCTGTATGTTAACAGTTTTGTTGTATATCTGTATGTTAACAGTTTTGTTGTATATCTGTAAGTTTACACAGTTTTGCTGTATATCTGTATGTTAACAGTTTTGTTGTATATCTGTATGTTAACAGTTTTGTTGTATATCTGTAAGTTTACAGTTTTGCTGTATATCTGTATGTTAACAGTTTTCTTGTATATCTGTAAGTTTACACAGTTTTGCTGTATATCTGTATGTTAACAGTTTTGTTGTATATCTGTATGTTAACAGTTTTGTTGTATATCTGTAAGTTTACACAGTTTTGCTGTATATCTGTATGTTAACAGTTTTGCTGTATATCTGTATGTTTACAGTTTGTTGTATATCTGTATGTTTACACAGTTTCAGCTGCTTTATACCAATAGTTATCACATAAACTTATTATGTCTGTTTAGGATTCTCACCCAATTTTGTCGATGTAAAGGAACTATACTTGTTTTATCAGTATAGGCTATATGTTTTTTTATTTCCATTTTTTACTATATTGGTAAATCATGACTATATTCAGTATGTGCTTTTGTATGCAATAACAGGAAAAAGATTTTTTTTAACTAAATGTTTTTCTGGATTTACCTTCATTAGAATCGCTCAAAAATAAACATTTGAAAGTAAGGGATGTATAAATACATTTCTCTAATCCTTGCATGATTTATCCTTTTCCTGACAATTTTTATTTAATCAACGTGTGGTTCATTTGATCTCACTTCTTCACTGGTCAAAATTCAATTATGACATCAAATTTTCTTGCTTTCCTCTGAATTTCCTATTGTGACGTCATGAAAAAAAGCAGCCATGCCTGATGAAGTCACATAGAAAGAACACATCTTTTTGTAGATCATTCGAAAAGAAGGATTGAGTTTGTCTGCATATGGTTTGAAAATCATTAGAGAAACAGATTCCACCACCAAATCTTGTGCAATACTATAGTTATCCACTCGACAGTTAAATTTTGAATATTTAAAACCCTCTGCAATTTGAAAATCTAACAGTCTCGAGTGGATAAATATCGTATCAGACTCGATACAGTGGTAGAATCTATATAGGAACTATATAAACCAAAAGGTACCTAAAAAGAACAGCCAAATTCATTTAAATTCAACTAATTTGCCAGAGGGAGTAAAACCTTAGTTTCTTTAAAATATACAACTGTATTCTTATAAATTTTGTGGTAAAAGATGATGAGAGAGAAATTCAATTCGTGTTTTTGTAAATAAATGTGGCTTGCAGATTTAATCATACACTTAACAAAGTTTATTTACATTTTAATTCTTTATAAAAATGACATTCCATCACATGATTATTTACATAATTTCATATATCATGCCACCATACAATTATTATAAACACAATATACAACTTTTACTTGTTATGTACAAAATGAGTACACATAACAAACATATATGCTCATGTTTATAGGTTTAAAGGGGAGGGGCGCAGAAGTAGGTATGATAAGAGTACTTTTTAGCCCCTTGGATTACAAAATCAAAAAGTATTATAAATCTATAAAAAAATCCTTCTGACTCACAAGGCTAATCAGACATCAGGATTTTATTCTTTAATTTCATCTTACAGATTTGAGGGTTTCAAGCTTCTTGCATTTGAAGGTAAAAGTTTACAATTACCTTCTTCAGGTAAGCTAAATGTGGAAAATATGCACAATTTATTTGGCTTTTAGCCCTTTCTATTCAAATTCACAGATATTTATTTTTTCACGATTTTCAAATCATATTGATGTTTTCATATAAGAGAAGATCGAAATCTAACATTCTTGACGATTTATAATAGATTTATATTTCTACTTGTGAAAGTCCATAAAAATTAGTTGGTTTACAGTAAGTGCTTTGAACCGTGTCTCGCTTTGAAAATGACTTGTTAATAATGTTTCTACAATTTATTTCATTACTTCTGGAGAAATTTCTTGGCCTCATGATTCAATTGAGCAGACCGACATTTTATGCAATTTTAACCCTAAGCCTTTTGACCATTTTCTAAATGGAAAAAAAATGATGGATAATCAATTTACTATTAAAAAGTGTTCCTGCTTGCCCTGGGGATTCCACATGTCCTCTTGTAAATAATTATTTCACTTTACTGACTAATAGTTTTCATGAAGTTTTATATGTTAAACACACTACTGAAAATGTTTTGATAAGTTGTTACGCTATCAAAGAAAATTTCAATAAAAAATCTATATTTGAAAATAATACATCAGTTCTGAAGGCATAGTCAACTGCTATGCAACAATGAACATAAAACATTAATCACACAAAAAATTTCAATAAAATACGATCAAAACTGGACATCAAAAAATTGATTTCAATTTAAAATTCAGTTGCATGATTGATGTATGTAATACAATTGCTAAATAATTTTCATATTGTATGTTCATGTAAGGAAACATATCACAATTTTAGTTTTAGCTGATTTGAATAAGTTACCTCCCTTTGTTTTTTAAATATAACACTTTATTAACTCCCTTTGTTTTTAAATATAACACTTTGTTATCTTCCTTTGTTTTTTAAATATAACACTTTGTTATTTATCTCCCGTTGTTTTTAAATATAACACTCTATTATTTCCTTTTGTTTTAAACTTAAACGCTTTGTTATCTAACTTTGTTTTTAAATATAAGCGAGATGTTCATGAAAAACAATTACTTTTCTATGATATAAAGAATTTATGTAAGCTTAACATTATATTGCAAAACGAATCTTGTGCCCATTTGTTTCTTCTTAAAAATAATAAATAATAAAAATGTAATCCCATGTGCGAAAATAACAAAAATAAAAACTTAAATGCTGGTATTTCTGCTCAAAATGGAAGATACAGGAATAACAGTTGTGAAATTAAATTATAATGAATTATTTTGTGACCTTGTAAAGCTGGTCTTTGCTTTGTTATATATAAACATATATATCAGCACCACATTTTAGAGGGGTGGCAATGGGGTTCTTTCAAGGACAACCTTAACCATTTTCTTTAAAAAAAAACATTAAAATATTTATTTGAAACTTGCACTAGGCCAAGAAACCTGTTCAGTGATTCTTTATGAGAAGTTCCAATTTCATAGGCTTTACAAAAATAAAACTTTAGGTTCAAATGATGCTTCAGTTAAAATCATGGAACTTTGATGTTTGACAATAAGTTATTAAGGTTTTGTAAAATGTATACCGGTAATCCTGAAAAATAACAATTGACAGATATATAACACATTTTCAAAGTAGATTAATTTACTTATTAAAAAAAATGAGATATTTATTCATAGAAATTCAATCATTCCAATATCAAAGCATGATAATGACAAATGAAAATTTGCATAAACTTTTGTATAACATATTATTCATTATAACATATAAACTATAATCTTCATCCTTACAATTAAAAATAACATTCAATCACATTCATTATGTGGTAGGATTAACAATGATACATGAATATTTAAACTTCATAATAAAATCAATGAATATTCAACATAACAATGAATATGCAACATAATACATGGTCTATGAATATTCAAAACTTACAATACAAATTTGCATGCATATATTAAGAGAGTTGAGGATAAATACAAGTCCTTGATAATAATAATGCATATCAGTCAACAGAAACATTTAAGCACTCAACTTTGTTATAAATAGCACTTCTTTGTGCAACTACAAAAACAATGTAAACATCCTTCTCATTCATGTGACTAGTGGAAAGAAGTTTAAAAATATAGAAATCTGGGACAACCATAAGAGAAGGTACGATAAAGCCGCTTTATTTCCCCCTGAATTCCAAATATTAAAATTTACTATGAATCTGCCAAATAACATGCCTAGCCTGTTGTTCAGTGGTTATCGTTTGTTGGTGTGGTTCATAAGTGTTTCTCGTTTCTGGTTTTTTATATAGATTAGACTGTTGGTTTTCCTGTTTGAATTGTTTTACACTAATCATTTTGGTGCCCTTTATAGCTTGCTGTTCAGTGTGAGCCAAGGCTTAGTGTTGAAGGCCGTACTTTGACCTATAATTGTTTACTTTTTATACATTGCGACTTGGATGGAGAGTTGTCTCATTGACACTCATACCACATCTCCTTATTTTTATACTAATATGTTCATAAGACATAAGACTGCCATCGATCAGTAATCATACTTTTAAATTTTATCTTACATGTTTGAATTAGGGTTTCTAAGTCCTTGTATTTGTAGAAACTGCAAAAATAGCCTTATTTTGAGATCTTGTCATAAATATTTGTGTATGAGCAAAGCCTTTACCTAAAATATTTGGTACAAGATTTGTTTTACATAGATGCAAAGATGTGTAAAATTTCTTTTTAGCCTCTGCCCTTATCAATTTTGACTAAAAACTACAGTAAAATGGCCATTTTAGGTCTAACGTCATAACGACACATTTCTGAACTAATGTGTCTGGATTATATCACCCTGTTCACTTACCAATAAAATAAACAAATTTTAAAAGGCTTGAACAGTTATACTATTTTTGAACTTTGAAGGCCAAAATAATGGCTTTTATCATATCTCCTCCTTTGAGATCTATCTCAAGAAGAATTCAAATACATGAACAATTAAAACTGCTCACATTATGTTGGATTCAAAAAAGAAATTTGGTTTCTGCTGGAACTCCCCTTATGGTTTGGGGTAGGCAAATTTTCTTCAACAGTCATCATTCAAAATACAGAGATGTGGTATCTATACTACTAAAATAACGAGGTCCAATTTGTTAGCCAATTTGTTAGCCGGCATATTCAACTTCATACATAACTAATATAAGACAATATTGTTGATTAAAAATTACACCATTCCAGGCCCTTTTTTTTTCCACATAACTATTATTACCAATATAATTAAAAAGTTCTGGGTTGAATCCGATGCCAATACCAATAGTATATGTCACATGTAGTAAAACAAAAAGCACAGGACGGGTTCAAACAGAAAGATTTTGAAATAAGCACGACTTTATCAGATGACAATACGAATACTAAAATCCAGGCTAAAAATTAGGCGTTGGTACTTAAATTCAATCACTGTTTCACGATGTCGCTGTTGTTTTCTAGTGATTGTAAAAGAGACGACTATTTACCAAAAGACCCAAGGACAAGGATGTTAACAACTACGGGTGATCTTAATACCTTCAACAATGAGCAAGGACAAAGTTGTAAACAAGTATCATACACAGCATAAACTAGCATTTTAATACTTTTAAACTCCTCATTTCAAAATTAAAATGATCAAAATAATTTTCACTCAGCGTTATACCAATTTTTCTGAGTAGGAAGGCATAGCAAATCAATGAAGGCCACTCCAACCTTCTTTCACACACAAACAAAATGGGGCAGGTGAAGAATTGTTTGTGACAATTCAAATTCATCCATATCGTGTATATAGTATATGTAATAAATGGGGAATGTGTCCATGGGACACAGATAATGCCCCCGCTTGCATATAACATTATAAAGGGACATAACCCAAGAACGATAAAAGTAACGCTCCCCAAATTTGTACTTGATCTGAGTTTTGTGGTAATAAGCATTGTTTATACGTTTCATATCATTTAGTTGGGGCAAATTTAAGTTAGAGAACGGAAATGTAATTCAGCAATTTTTCCATTTGTAAAGGGGCATAACTCTAGAACGGTAAAAGTGACGCCACCAAAATTCAAACTTGATCTGTGTTTTGTGGTAATAAGCATTGTGTATAAGTTTCATAACATTTGGTTGAGGCAAACTTAAGTTAGAGAACGGAAACTAATTTTGGGACAAACGGACAGACGTACGTACGGACAAGGGTAAAACTTAATGCCCCCTCCGCTACGGCAGGGGCATAAAAAATCCAAAATTTTATTTATCATTAATACAATGTCTTTTAAAAATCTATAAAAAGTATTTGTCTCTTGAAAAAAATTTTTTTTTGAATTTACAATGCAAGTTACAAACTTTTCCCTTGTCCCCAAGAATATCACTTTTTGTTGTTGATATTTGACAAAAGTGATAGTACATTGTAGCTTATAAAAGTCAAAACAAAAACAAAATCTTGACATTATTTAGATTTGACAAATTTTGACATGACTTACATTTTGAATTGAGTAAGTTTGACAATTTTAGATATTTTTTACATATAGATTTGAGTAAGTTCTATAGACTTTTCCATCCTTAGATTTCAGTAAATTTCACAAATTTTGACATTGTTTCCATCTAGATTTGATAGTCAGAGCCTGTTGTTAATTTGTACATTAAAAATTAAATCAAAGAAGTCTTATCGACTGGCAAAAATGTGACATCACTTTTGCATCCTCTCTGCTAATATCAGTTGAGGTCTCTAGTCATTGAAATAAAAACCCTACACATATATATACATTTTCATTTAATGATTCCGTTCGGCTGGATAAATTCACCTGACGTTACTAACTGTCCTTTCTGTTTGACCTCAAATACTTCTTGTATAGCCTGTCGGAAGCATAGGAAATTGTAGTCTATTACCCCTGAAAAAAAAACAAGTTCAAAGGTTAATTTTAAAAAGTTTGCAAAAAATAATTTATAAATGAAGAAAAGATTATAATTCAACATTTCTAAATCTAAATGATTTTGGGTAACTTCATTGTTTGTATGCTCAATAAAATAAAAATATTTTCACACCTTTGTTAAGGACAATGATAGGCAGACATCATGTTTTGGTGTAATCTTTTGAAAATATTACCCATAATTCATTAGATTCAAAATGGCAAATTAATACAAGGGTAAAGAAGGATTATCTCCCTTTTCAGTTTCAATTTTTTTTTTATTCTACATTTATTCTTTTAAAATTATCTCCAGTTTAATTGTATGACAAAAGAGAGAGTTAGAGAATTTTCTGTAAACTGGGGAAACTTATCTAAGTATGAGGAAAACTCTAAACATATCAAGCCTAAACTTTGCAATTCTGTAAAAAGTTACTGCTTCAAATCCTGTTTTAAAATATAAATGTTTAGATTATACCATTAAATAAATTAATAGTAAATGCTAACCAATCTTGACTTAATTACAAAAACAGCATCCATGTCACTTTAACATTAAATTATTTCCTTATAAATGTGTCATGCAAAGTAGTTGCTCAAAGTTCTTTTTCGAGTATTAAAAGGTATATACAAGCAATTAGATTAAAGTTTCTTAGTTTTAAATACATTGAATTCAGAATTTATTGCAAGGTTTTTATTATTGCAAATAATGCGATTGTGTGACAATCCCAATTATAAGAACTCACATTCTGATATCTGATACACATAAGTGTATGCAGATTTTCCTGAAATCGAAATAATAAATCTGTCAGTTTTGTCCTTTCATCAAAATCGCAATAATTAATGCATGCAATAATTTCTGAATTCAAAGTATTCAAAACTAATAGACTTTTTAATCTAATTGCATGTATATACCTTTTAATACTTGAAAAAAGAACTTTGACCAACTACTTTGCATGAAACATTTGTAAAGAAATAATTAAATGTTATAGTTACATGGATGCTGTTTTAATGCACCCATCATCACGGGAGGGGGCATTAAATTTTACCCATGTCCATTCATACATCCGTATGTCCGTATGTACATCCCGAAATTGGTTTCTGTTCTCTAACTTTAGTTTGCCTCAATCAAATGTTATGGAACTTATGCACAATGCTTATTACCACAAAACTCAGATCAGTATATAACTCTTGCAGAATTTAGCTTTTTTAATATGAAGCATAATAAACTGTTAAGTAAACTGTTCATAATTTTGGATAAGTGAGATTAAATTGTCTCCCTTTGATATTTAAAAACAACTTTAATACCAATACAATGTGTGTACTAAATTTTCTTGGGAAATAATGACAACATTAAATCTCACTTTCATTGAGTACAACTAAAGACCGAAATACTTTAAACACAGATTAAGCATGTAAATAATCACTCACCTTGTTTGTCAAAACTATCTTCCCGTAAAATACAAACTAACGCTAAATATCTGTTGACTTCACGCAGATATAAAATTGTACCATTATTTAATTTAATTGTTGATGCTGATTGACTATCAAAGGCTCCATCTTCTTTTGTTCTAAAATAAGACAGAAATTCAAAACTATACATTTCTGAAATACTGAAACCAAATTGTCTACATTTGACAAAATCTTCAGCTGTTTTCATTTTCAATAAATTGTATTTCTATTCCTAAACAAAAATTGCAAAATATGAATTTCAACATAGGCAGTGTTCTCCCCAGGTCTTTTCAATTTTTGTGGTAAGTGGATATTAAACCGATGCACCTATCGCCTTGATTAACATTTGTACTGCCATGTTGGTTATATCAAAATAAATTGAAAAAGATCTGTTTTTAAATACATATGCATTTACAGAAATGTAAATAAGTCATATTTTCATTATATTTAGTGTTGTTATTAAAGTGCATAAATAATTGAAAAACATGTGTAGATATTTTGATTAACCTCCCTTTGATCTTTTGATTAAGGAGTAAGTATTATAAGTATGTATGTCCACACTTTAAGTTGTGTACAAATATTTTCCTGTTTTTCATTTACAAGTAAATAATTTATTATGTTTTACAAATCACTCACAAAAATTTGCAATGTTACGTAATTCAACAATGTCTGAAGTTTATAATAATAAGATACTTAACCGAATACAACACAACCGAGATATTTATAATAGTATTAGAATGTAAAGTTTTAATCCAAAAGCATACAGCTTTATTTGTCTCACTTTTGATTTTCATAACGTATGGAAGAAGCTGCATTTAATTTCTATACCTAATTAAATTTGAGAATGGAAGTATATTTTTGAAGGTGAAATTTAGATAGGCTAACAGATCTTTTAATTTTCATCCTGAAAAAAAATATCACCCATTACACAACAAATCATTTTCTATCTGAAATTGATCTTTGAAAATTAAAAACTTCAAATTCAGAAATTTTTGTATACATTTTTTATTGGAACTGTTGAACAATGGGAGAAAATGCCAGATTAAATATTAAGATTTCAGGAAATGCTGCATAGAAATAATTCGCCGTTTCAGAATCTAATGCATTCTGGGTAATTTTCAAAAGCGTCAACCAAACGCTGTTATTGGCTTACAACGTCCAAAACAATTGAATTTTAAACAATGTCGTGACATTGTTTTCATTTTGGGGTACGAACAACAAGATTACCCATGATTCTTTAGATTCTGAAACGGCGAATTGCTATAAAAAGAAACATATCCTGTCACAATTTTCGCAATAATAAAAAGATCACAAAAATTTCTGAATTTACATGACAGTACTTTTTTGTGGAAGAGAGAAATATAGTTAATCATCTATAATATTTTCTTTAAGCAGATAAATCATTCAAAAAAAAGGTATGCCAAAAAGAATTGATGAAATTATATACTTTATAAAATGGGTGAAAAAGGAGAATTATATATATAACATATCATAAGCTTGGTATTTTATCGCATGATCATGCAAAAAGATAGACCCAATAACGGTATATATACTTTTAAAGTGATTTGAGATGCATTTGGCAATACATTATTTTGAAACCTTTTTCTGATGTTGTTTCTTGTCTCAGATGCCAAACTCATGCCAGGGAAAATGTTTTTCCAGTAATGAGAATGAAAATGGGTAAGGGCTGGCATATCGTTTTTTTAAAACTTTTTTTTATTTGAACAGCATCATGATCAGACAAGAGTGCACACGCTTAAATGTCTCGCCAGCTTTACTGACCATTGATTTTATGTTGATAGTCCTAAACATAAAGCTTTACTACAAGTATCACATAAACTTAACATGATCCAAAAAAATGAAGTCAAGGTCAGATAAACCAAACCAGAAATACATGTACCCCCTTACAATCATTCCATACACCAAATATAGTTGACCTATTGCTTATAGTTTCTTAAAAAAACTACCTTAACCAGGAAGATTAAACATTGACCAATGAACGATGAAAATGAGGTCAAGGTCAGATGAACCATGCCAGACAGACATGTACACCTTACAATCAATCTATGCATTAAATATAGTTGACATATTGCTTATAGTATCTATGAAACAAACTTAACCATGAAAACTGAACATTGACCAATGAACCATGAAAATGAGATCAAGGTCAGATGATACCTGCCAGACAGACATATACACCTTATAATCATTCCATACACCAAATATAGTTGACCTATTGCTTAAGGTATTAGAAAAAAAGACCAAAACACAAAAACTTAACTTTAACCACTGAACCATGAAAATGAGGTCAAGGTCATATGACACCTGCCAGTTGGACATGTATTCCATACACCAAATATAGTAGACCTATTGCTTATAGTATCTGAGATATGGACTTGACCACAAAAACTTAACCTTGTTCACTGATCCATGAAATGAGGTTGAGGTCAGATGAAAACTGTCTGACAGGCACGAGGACCTTGCAAGGTATGCACATACTAAGTTTAGTCATCCTATTTCTCATAATAAGAAAGAAATTAACATTACAAAAAATCTTAACTTTTTTTTCAAGTAGTCACTGAACCATGAAAATGAGGTCAAGGACAATGGACATATGACAGACAGAAACTTCATAACATAATGCATCTATAAACAAAGTATGGTGCATCCAGGTCTTCCACCTTCTAAAATATAAAGCTTTAAAGTTGTTAGTTAACACCGCTGTTGCCGGATCACTATCCCTATGTCGAGCTTTCTGCAACAGGAGCTGCAGGCGCGACAAAAACCAATCAGATTTAACTTTTGTTTCGTAATAATTTCAAGTTATCATGTATAACGAATGAAACTAATAGCTTTGCACCATGAAGCAATAAGTCTTTTTATTTCTAAGGGTAAAATGAAAAATGTATGTGCATATCATGAAAGAAAATGACCCCATATATTAAAAGAAAGGATTCCATAACTCCCAGAAAATACAATTACGCTGTAGAATCCTGTCGAGATAGTATACCACAACTGGTTTTGCTGTGGTCCTTCCTTTGAAAATAAAAATAAAAATTTATGGCTCAATCTCTCATTTCAAAAGTAATTTTGAAAATCATATAAATGATACAGAAAGTAAATATCTCTTTTTTTCTTTTAAGCTCTTTGTTATTTTTAAAATATTTTTTTAACATTTTAAATGAGTTATTCAGAAACGCAAGTTCTTGCATTACAAACGGCAGCGGTATATTCTAGAATTAGTATATTACGAAACCATAGCAGAATGTTTGCAACTGTGTTTATCCATCCTCTCCTTTGAACCTGAACATGGAATTTAAAGATATGATAAATTTACCAAAACCCATGAAAATGTCCACACCTTTGGTATATATGTAGGACTCAGTGGTGCGATGGGGATGCTGAAGTGCGATGGTCTGCACCAAACTGCGATGGTCCGTTTGCTAATGTGCGATGGTCTATATGACGCGTAATGGCTTGTTTAAAATCTACAGATGTGCAATTATTTAATTGTTTTATATATTTATATAAAATATTCATTATTGTCTACGTATGTCCTTAGTTACAGTTTACTACTGATATACCTTATTGCTGTCCTTAGTTACAGTTGCATAACAAATGAGAGATCGTCCTCTTTGATTTTCTGCATGCGAACATAATTCTGCTTCAACATTTTATTTTTACCTGGTTCTTCTCGTGATTTCCTCGTTTACAGTAATATTATATTATGGAAAGTCTTTTTACAGACCCGTATGTATTTAGAGAATAATGCCACGCTCCATCGTACGTCAACTAGAACCTTTTGTAGATTTCGAAAAAAATCTGCTACAGAAGGTTGACTTTCCCCTCTCTACCTATCACTCTCTGTTTACCAAAGTTTATAAGCCCCTTATTTACTTAAAAACCCGAAATACTGCTTCTACAGTAACACAATGTATGGTCGACCTAAGGCAAACAAATTGCCTTCTACATAGACTTGAAAAGCATTGAAAATAAAGTTTATTCAGTCCATAGCACTTCAGCGTTACCAACATCGCACTTCGGTGTAGCTATCAACAAGATAGCGTCACAATGCCACCATTGCACTTCAGCGTGATCAAAAACACACTTCAGCATCTAACCATTGCACCTCAGCAGTACCATCGCTGTTCAGAGTCCTACATATATATTCTATATCAACAGACTCAAGTTTTTAGTGGATGTATTATAACAAACTTCTGACAATTGTCTTGTTATTATATATTACCTACCCGTAAATATACGACACATCATTGACAACGTCAATCATATCACAGCAAAGTTCATACGACTGCATATCTACCGGGGAAATATCTGTGGCGATGTAGATTTTACTGACTACGTCAAACAAAAAGGCCTTTTCTATACCAGAATGCTAAAAATATAAAATATTACAAATATCTATGGCTATGTAGATTTCACTGACTACGTCAAACAAAAAAGACATTTTCTTTACCAGAATGCTAAAAATATAAAAAAAACTCTAAAACACTAGAGCTACAAGGAGCCTGAAATGGTAATCTGGGAAAAATAAAATATGCCATATTTATATAAATATATATGGACATTTTCGTTAAAATTAAAACTAAGAAAAGAAAAAAAAAACTCTGCCCCCCTCCCCCTCCCCCAAAAAAAATTATTAAAAAAAATTCAGGGACAAGTTGATAAAAAAGTTGACATTGAAACCTAGGCCCATTTCTATGATTCACTCAACACCACAAAGAGTGCCTGAGTAATTTCCAACTAAATCACCTTGTGTGTACTGTAGTTTAATTCAATTCTCACAATACTTCAGGGACAAACTTTTCTCCTAGGTCATGTTTATGCAATTTTTAAAAAAGAAAAAGGGAAGTTTTTTGGACAGGAGTCCATGGGTCGACAAGAAAGATCCAGGGGTTAAAAAATCCATAAGCTTGAAGCCCGGGACTGGAGCATTTACGCCTCGGGCAATCAAAATGTTTAACCCAATATGTCCGACGGACTAGTAACAAAAAATTCTTGGCGTTTCCAAAACAGAAAGTGGAAAATCCGCCCGGGACTGGAGCATTTACGCCTCGGGCAATCAAAATGTTTAACCCAATATGTCCGACGGACTAGTAACAAAAAATTCTTGGCGTTTCCAAAATAGAAAGTGGAAAATCCCTTAATCACTGTTCTATCTTAACCAATCAGATTCAATTACGTCATCCAGGATTCCAAGAATTTGAACTGGTTTGTACAGGTCCTGTTGTACATATTTTAAAAATAGAACGAATTACTTTGGGTGGCCCGGTATCATATATTGATCGCAATTCTCGTACTTTAAATATCGATTTCTTAGTACCAGGGGGGTATTTTACATTTCTTATGCCGAGATTTTCAATTAACGGTACTGGGGGTATGATGTATTGATTGGTATTGATCTGACTTGTTGGACAGCTGTTGAGCATGAAACCAATCCATGCAAACAAATATTTCTAAATATTTTAGTACGGGCACCCCAGGAACTTTGTCAGTTTTAAAAAGAAATAAAAATAGAATCATAATTTCCTGTCGATATGCACATCTGCAAAGTATGTTCTTATTATCTACAAAGTTTCAGGAAATTCTGTTGTGTGGTTTCAGAGGAGTTTTCATGACAAACTGTTGCAGTAGTATATTTAGGCCAAAATTCTAAGTTCAAAGGGGCATGACTCCTAGAAAATAAATAGAATCATAATTTCCTGTCGATATGCACATTTACATAGTATGTCCTAATTATCTACAAAGTTTCCGGAAATTCTGTTGTGTGGATTCAGAGGAGGTGCGATGATAAGAACAGGACTGACAGACAGACTGACAGTAGGACTGACGGATGGATGGGTCAAAAACATTATAGTTCCATGGGGTATAATTATGTGACAAGGGTAAATCAATCAATGCACAGTTGATACCATGAGCCTGTCATCCTTGATCACAAAAAGTAGCATATCCCTACAAGAAAATTATTACTAAAAATCGTTTCTTTACATATGTCATGTATGTTGGAAGCTCTGTTTTCAAGCATTGAAAGGGATATATACATTGATTTGGTTAAAATTTTTCTTACTTTTGTAGATCTTAATTCTATCAAATATTTGTTCATTTAAATGAAGCATTATCAGTGGTCAAGAACATTTGTAAATGTCAAATGTTGAGATAGAATTTCTCCCCTTGCTTACATTTGGAAAATTTATTTTCTGCTCTACCTTTGTATATATTTTGAAATAAATGTGGATAGTGTCCACATGTGGACACAGATGATGCCCCCGCTTGCATATCATATAGTTATAAAGGGACATAACTGAAGAACAGTAAAAGTGACGCTACCCAAATTTGAACTTGATCTGAGTTTTGTGTGTAAGTCTCATAACATTTGGTTGAGGCTAACTTAAGTAGAGAACAGAAACTAAAAATTCAGCAATTTTTCTATTTATAAAGGGGCATAAATCAATAATGGTTAAAGTGACACTACCCAAATTCAACTTGATCTGTGTTTTATCAGTGGAAGTCAAAATTAAACATTGCATTGTATAAAGCATTCATTGTAGTTGATTCAACTATAATCATGGACAAAGGAAGATAACTCCAATTTTAAAAATAACTTGATATTTAGAAGAAAATAAAAATTTTGCAATTTTTTCCATTTATAACGGGGCATAACTCTAGAACGGTTAAAGTGACGCCACCAAAATTCAAACTTGATCTGTGTTTTGTGGTAATAAGCATTGTATATAAGTTTCATAACATTTGGTTGAGGCAAACTTAAGTTAGAGAACGGAAACTAAAAATTTTGCAATTTTTCCATTTATAAAGGGGCATAACTCTAGAACGGTTAAAGTGACGCCACCAAAATTCATAATTGATCTGTGTTTTGTAGGTAATAAGCCTTGTGTATAAGTTTCATAACATTTGGTTGAGGCAAACTTAAGTTAGAGAACGGAAACTAAAAATTTTGCAATTTTTCCATTTATAAAGGGGCATAACTCTAGAACGGTTAAAGTGACGCCACCAAAATTCAAACTTGATCTGTTTTTTGTGAAAATAAGCATTGTGTATAAGTTTCATAACATTTGGTTGAGGCAAACTCAAGTTAGAGAACAGAAACCAATTTTGGGACGTACAGACGGACGTTCGTACGTACGTACGTACAGACAGACAAGGGTAAAACTTAATGCCCCCACCGCTACGGCGGGGGCATAAAAACTGTAGATGAAGGGGGTAATAAGACTGACAATTCATCCCCCAAAAATGCCAAACACGACCAGGAAAAGCGGAAAGGAAAATTTATAGTGTCCCAGAAAGAACAATTCCCCTAGGCAAGGTCGGGCGTGTTGCTGAGACTATTGCCGTTATTTTCCCGAGTATGCCAATAAAAAGTCTGCTTTGTATGTAAGATGAGCCCCACTGTTTGTTTATCAGCAGAATAAAAAACAGGTCAACATAAATTATTAAATACAGTGTATAATGCTGCCATCAAAACAAGAGACACCCACTTTGTAATTATGCAGCAAACTCTGATTTGTAAGGCATATTCTCGGGCTAGCAGGTCAGTTTTGATGGGCTAGCAGTTCTTCCAACAGGGCTAGTAAAATCCTGCTGCAAATAAGTCCTGGGCTAGTTACCTGTACCAAATTTTTTAACGCCTGAGATCTTTTAACATAATGTTTGTTATATCACTTTACATATCTGATTTAAATATTTATTTCGTCAAAGTCGTGAGTATAGTAAAGAGATCAATCACACCATGTGTGCTTACTGTGGTGAGTATATCAAGGAGATCAATCACAACATATGGAAAGCCTCAGCTGTCATATATTAGAGATTTACAAAACGTTATGCTGAAGCTTAAAATGTAAAGTTAAGACAGCGTGATGTTGAATTGAGTCATCAAAATGCTAACTCTAAATTACAATATGCTAAGTTGAATCTGCGCAATGTTGACTTGCAATGACAAGTGCTTTAGTCGTGATAGTATAATGATAAGTCACGATGTTGTGATGATATGCCAAACACACGTAACGTTGGGTTTACAGTACATGTCTGGCATGATGATGATGTGAAGTTGACGTTGCATGATGTTAGCTTGCAGATGTATACTGCTCAGTCATCCACATCGACAGCTATGATAACAAGTAAAATGAATAGCTAAAATGTATGGTGCTGACTTGTTATTAATAAATGTTGAGCTGATATAGTACGATGTTATATCATTGTGATATTACGATTGGTCTATCATGCAATCTGTTGATTTAAAACACCATGATGCACAGTTGAAAGTACATGATGTTAAGTTAAGATAACACGATGCTACACCACTATATTGAAACGAAAGGTTTACTATACAATTTGTTGACTTAAAATAACACGATGCAACGTGTTAAGCTAGGATGCTCACTTGAAACTACACGACGTACAGTTGAAATTTTGTAATTTTAAGCTACGATAGCACGATGTTATATCATTATAATGTCACAATAGGCTTATTATACAATTTGCTCATTTAAAACTACACAGCATACAGTTGAAAGTATGTGATGTTAAGCTAAGATAGCATGTTGTTATATCATTAGAATGTCACGATAGGCTTACCACACGATATGCTCGTTTAAAACTATACGACGTACAGTTGAAAGTACGTGATGTTGAGCTATGATAACAATATCTTATATCATAATAATATCACGATAGGCTTGCCATACAATATGCTCGTTTAAAACTACACGACGTGCAGTTGAAAGTACGTGATGTTGAGCTATGATAGCAATATCTTATATTTTGATAATATCACGATAGGCTTGCCATACAATATGCTCGTTTAAAACTACACGACGTACAGTTGAAAGTACGTGTTGTTGAGCTAAGATAGCATGATGTTCTATCATTATGACGTCACAAGAGGCTTATCATACAATGTGTTGACTTGAAACTACACGATGTAAATTTGAAGTAGTTTAGTCTTGACTTGAAACAGTAAAATGTTAAGTTATAAAAACAGAACGTAAAGTCAAAATAAAACAATGATAGGATGACATATACTTGTGCAGAATTGAAGATTTTTGGTGTTGGCCTCGAATATAGTACAAATATTAGATCGTTTTATGTTAAATTGAAAGATAATAATGATGTGTAAAACATTACAGAATTAGGTGAATTGAAACTGCAATTCTATGGAAAAGAATGAGGGACAAATCCCCAGGATTTTTTCTTCTTCATTTGCAAGTTGATGAATATTAATGAAATTTAATTCCGGAGGCAAATTGATATACAAAGAAATTTTTCCCTAAATTCATAAAGCAAAAGATTTACCCATCGCTATATATTACACTTGAATACAGTTTAGCCGTATATTTTACATGTTTTGTTTGGATCTTTTTTTATGATTAAAAACTAGACTTTTTTTATGAACAATATTTAAGAAAATATTTATCTATGTTGTGTGTTAATATATACAACATAATATTGTGCTTATAAGACTTATGACTGTGAGAGTCAAATTTTACTCATATAAAATCACATCTATGTAAGAGTTAGCGGAGAATTTGTATTTACCACTCCCGTTTTCCACGCAATGAAGCATCTTAAAAAACCGTGGGAAAGATCAACTGATATGACAAATAATATGTGAAGGCGTAGGACTGAGAGGGTCAGAGCTATATGAGAATGTGACCCCCCCCCCCCCGAGGAACTTTTTCGAGGAACTCCCAAAAAACATGAATTACAGGGTGTCAAATCGGTGAACGTGCTTTAGAATAGGCTCCTTTTCATAAGAAAAGAATTGATGAAAATGTATTTGTATTTAGTGTACAGTGGCAAATATTACATGCATATAAGGACGAGAATATGTAAGTGTGTTATGAATATAAATAAATCTTGGCTCTGTTCAAGAGATATTTTGCTTGCTTAGCCGAATTTTTAACAAACTAGTTGACAAACCGTCTTTGACAATCTATGGAAATCCAAATAGCATGGGTTTTGATTCAGTCCAAATTTTTTGGTTTTATTTCGGGGAAAAAGGGTGCGTTTTACGTACAGTGGCAAATATTACATGCATATCAGGACAAGAACATGCAAGTGTGATATGAATATGAATAAACCCTGCTTTGCTACAAGACATACTTTACTTGCCTAGCCGAATTTTCAACGAACTAGTCGACAAACAGCTGATATAGCTCTGACTCTCTCAATTATTTGTCATATCAGTTGATCTTTGTTTTTTTAAGATTAAGACTCCAGATTATTATGTTCTATTTCATGGAAAACGGGAGTGGTAAATACAAATTCTCCGCTAACTCTTACATAGATGTGATTTTATATGAGTAAAATTTGACCCGCACAGTCATAAGTCTTATAAGCACAATATTCTGTTGTATATATTAACACACAACATAGATTAATATTTTCTTAAATATTGTTCATAAAAAAAGTCTAGTTTTTAATCATAAAAAAAAATCCAAACAAAACATGTAAAATATACGGCTAAACTGTATTCAAGTGTAATATATAGCGATGGGTAAATCTTTTGCTTTATGAATTTAGGGAAAACTTTCTTTGTATATCATTTTGCCTCCGGAGTTAAATTTCATTAATATTCATCAACTTGCAAATGAAGAAGAAAAAATCTTGGGGATTTGTCCCTCATTCTTTTCCATAGAATTGCAGTTTCAATTCACCTAATTCTGTAATGTTTTACGCATCATTATTGTCTTTCAATTTAACATTATAAAACGATCCAATATTTGTACTATATTCGAGGCCAACACCAAAAATCTTCAATTCTGCACAAGTATATGTCATCCTATCATTGTTTTATTTTGACTTTACGTTCTGTTTTTATAACTTAACATTTTACTGTTTCAAGTCAAGACTAAACTACTTCAAATTTACATCGTGTAGTTTCAAGTCAACACATTGTATGATCAGCCTCTCGTGACGTCATAATGATAGAACATCGTGCTATCTTAGCTCAACAACACGTAATTTCAACTGTACGTCGTGTAGTTTTGAATGAGCATATTGTATGGCAAGCCTATCGTGATATTATTATGATATAACATCGTGCTATCATAGCTCAACATCACATACTTTCAACTGTACGTTGTGTAGTTTTAAATGAGCATATTGTACGGTAAGCCTATCGTGATATTCAAATGATATAACAACATGCTATCTTAGCTTAACATCACCTAGTTTCAACTGAAAGTCATCAAGTTTTAAATGAGCATATCGTGTGGTAAGCCTATCGTGACATTCTAATGATATAACAACATGCTATCTTAGCTTAACATCACATACTTTCAACTGTACGCTGTGTAGTTTAAAATGAGCAAATTGTATAATAAGCCTATTGTGACATTATAATGATATAACATCGTGCTATCGTAGCTTAAAATTACAAAATTTCAACTGTACGTTGTGTAGTTTCAAGTGAGCATCTTAGCTTAACACGTTGCATCGTGTTATTTTAAGTCAACAAATTGTATAGTAAACCTTTCGTTTCAATATAGTGTTGTAGCATCGTGTTATCTTAACTTAACATCATGTACTTTCAACTGTGCATCATGGTGTTTTAAATCAACAGATTGCATGATAATAATAATAATAATATCACAATGATATAACATCGTACTATATCAGCTCAACATTTATTAATAACAAGTCAGCACCATACATTTTAGCTATTCATTTTATTTGTTATCATAGCTGTCAATGTGAATGACTGAGCAGTATACATCTGCAAGCTAACATCATGCAACGTCAACTTCACATCATCATCATGCCAGACATGTACTGTAAACCCAACGTTACATGTGTTTGGCATATCATCACAACATCGTGACTTATCATTATACTATCAGGACTAAAGCAATTGTCATTGCAAGTCAACATTGCGCAGATTCAACTTAGCATATTGTAATTTAGAGTTAGCATTTTGATGACTCAATTCAACATCACGCTGTCTTAACTTTACATTTTAAGCTTCAGCATAACGTTTTGTAAATCTCTAATATATGACAGCTGAGGCTTTCCATAACAACATGTGGTGAGTATATTAAGGAGATCAATCACAACATGTGTACTTACTGTGGTGAGTATATCAAGGAGATCAATCACAACATGTGTACTAACTGTGGTGAGTATATGAAGGAGATCAATCACAACATGTGTACTTAATGTGGTGAGAATATATAAAGGAGATCAATCACAACATGTGTACTTACTGTGGTGAGTATATCAAGGAGATCAATCACAACATGTGTATTTACTGTGGTTAGTATATCAAGGAGATCAATCACATGTGCACTAATCTTCTTATTTCTATTTAATGTGGTGAGTATATCAAGGAGATCAATCACAACATGTGTACTTACTGTGGTGAGTGTATCGAATCAATCATGAAATATGTACTTACTGTGGTGAGTATATGAAGGAGAACCATCACGAAATGTGTACTTACTGTGGTGAGTGTATTAAGGAGACTCATCACGACATGTGTACTTACTGTAGTGAGCATATGAAGGAGATCCATAACAACATGTGTACTTACTGTGGTATATTAAGGAGATCAATCACCACATGCATATTTACTGTGTTGAGTATATGAAGGAAATCAATCACCACACGTGTACTTACTGTGGTGAGTATATTAAGGAGATCAATCACAACATGTGTACTTACTGTGGTGAGTATATGAAGGAGATCCATCACAACATGTCTACTTACTGTGGTGAGTATATGGAGGAGATCAATCACACTATGTGTACTTACTGTGGTGAGTATATTCAGGAGATTTTCTAACACTGAAAGCTGTGGTATTAACTTTTGTACAACTTTACTAAAGGCTTCAAATATTGAATGGTCATATATACTGGTTAGGTAAAAACTGAAATAAACAAACATTGAATCTTTATTTGTACAACTTGACTAAAGGATAATATATATATAATGATCATAAGTTTGTTTTCTCGTTTGAATTGTTTTATATTTGTCAATTTCTGGGCCTTTTCTAAGCGGTATGGATTTTGCTCATTGTTGAAGGCTGAATGGTGACCTATAGTTGTAAACTTCTATGTCATTTAGTGTCTGGTTGAGAGTTGTCTCATTGGCAATCATACCACATCTTCTGATGTTTACCTTTATATATACTGTTAAGGTAAAACTAAAATACACAATGAACAAACAATAAATTCATCTTTCCAGTTTGAATTGTCCTAAATATGCATGAAATATATACCACTAAACATAAAGCAATTTAAAAATACACACATAGGATTTTTAAACAGAAAATGCATCAAAACTGTTTTTGTTATGTATCCTTAGGTCATGTAGGCAAACTGCAAAATAGAACAAACAGCATAAGAAAAATTTCAGCTTTTTAAGTAATCGATCTGGATATCAAATTATGTAAAGATTTGATTGCAAGAGCCATACACTAGAATAGCAAAATATGATATTAAGAATTTACCCACTGTGGATTCATTATTATTATTTGTGGGTTATCTATTTTTGAGGATTTGGTGGTTTAAGGTAAACCACGATTTTAAATGTTCAACTAAGTGCAAATTTTTTATACATGCAGACTTTTGTTATAGCCATGTATGCAGACTTTGGCAAAACCATGAAATCCAATATCCAGGATTATACAATTATTTCCTCAATCCACTAAAATTGATACCCACGAAATAAATGAGTCCACAGTATCTGTGACTCTTACACTATAGAAAATAGAATTTCCACATTATGCGACTTGAATGAAATTGGGGACGAATTTCATTACATAATGTCATGCAGGAAATTTGCCAACATTCAAAATTTATAAATTCAAGAAAAATTTTCAAAACGTCCAAATACACTTAAATTTGGAGATCTTATGACCTGTAAAAGAAAATAGATACTTTCGAAACTGTAAATTTATCAACATTGTTAATAAAGGGTTGTGTGATATGGGCTGACATCTCTCTCATATATGTTGATTTGTAACTAATATTGTGTTGTCTGTACCATTCCACTGTAAATGGTTTGTTGAGAAATAAAAAAAAATAAATGGGGAATGTGTCCATGGGACACAAATGATGCCTCGGCTTGCATATAATGTTATAAAAGGACATAACTCAAGAACAGTAAAAGTGACGCCACCTAAATTTGTAAATGATCTGAGTTTTGTGGTAATAAGCATTGTACATAAGTTTCATAACATTTGGTTGAGGCAAACTAAAGTTAGAGAATGGAAACCAATTTTGGGACGTACAGACAGACGTACAGAGGGACAAGGGTAAAACTTAATGCCCCTCCACTACCGCGGGGGCATAAAAAAACGGAAAAAATACTACCTTAATCTAAGATTTTCTAATCCTTCATCTGTTAAGTTATCAGATGCCCTTTGGTGTATATCACGTTGTGCTTCTATTTTATGGTCGTCAGATAAACCATCAACTTTATGAATGAACACTTCAAATTTAATATCTGGATTTATTTTAAAAGCTTTGGCTACAGTGGTATGAAGTTTCGTCAATGCATTCATATATTCATCCTAAAAAATAAATTGACAAATAACAGTAAAACTGGGATTTTTTATCAATATCTTTCATATACAGGATGTAAGCCATAAATATTATTTCATCGAATCTCATCGAATGATAGGTTACCTTTGCACCCTGCTACTATTATAATTTCTCCTTTTCAGCAGTTGAATGATCACTAAATTGGATTATTAATTTTTATTCATGGTTATGGATAGCTGTAAAAATCATTCAAAAGGCATTAATAAGTATTTAGTATGACGATAAATTTTCACTTCTGTACTCGTACTGTGATTGACAAATTTATTAAGTTTGTAAAAAAAAATGTTTCTGTACTCCTAACAACAAAATTATTATATTTAAATTAACCTTTGTACGTTACTTTATTTAACACCATTTTGTCCCAGGTTAAAATTGTCTTTTGGACATTGTTCTACATCTTTTTTTATTAATATTGTATTTATATTGTGTCATAGATCAAACTTATTCATTCAGTGTATGTTTACTTGTTTTTGTTTACATGTCTTTTTGATCGAGTTAAGCCATTTCAATTGATATTTTATAGTGTGTCTTTTTATGTTGTAATGTTACACTACTGTTTCAGGTTAGGGTGAAGGTTGGCGACTATTAAAACGTTAAAACCCGCTGCATTTGTATGCATCTGTCCTAAGTCAGGAGGCTGTTGTTCAGTGGTTGTCGTCTGTTGGTGTGGTTCATAAGTGTTTCTCGTTTTTTATATAGATTAGTTTTTCTTAATTGTGTAGGTGTTTATTAAAAAATCATTTTTATTTCCATTTGATGGTTTAAAGTTTATGCTAAAACGTAAAACTATGTTTAAGACAGGAGCAATAAAACGATGTTTATTAGAGTGACATGTGAAGCTATTTGACCCCATCATTTTATTAAACAATATAATTACCGGTAACATTTTTTAATTGATTAGTTTATTGCCAATAGCTATCAAATGCTTTTGCTTTTTTTTAAATCAGCTGATTCAGTGATTATTGATTTTCTGTCAAAATCAAAACGTGTGACAAGTTCAAGGTCAACAAGCTTAAGACCTGGATCTTCCTTGCTTCATGCAATTGATTGAGGTGACATGTATACTGGAGCATAACTGATCATTCGCAGACCAAATATTAAAATCACTCACTTCAAAAGAAGCTAAGAAAGATTGACGAAACCTTTCCTTGTACAATCTATCTGCAAACAGGAAGTGGCTACACGGAAGATGTAAAATTGATAACTTGCTTCAACTCTACATTATCAAGCCGTAGACCAATTATCAAGCCATTCCTTTTCAAAGTTTTCTATCAGATGGACGAAAAGACAGAGTGACAGACAGGCTGACTGGGTCGTGCGGTTACTAGACCTGCTTCTTCCTTTGGCAACTCAAGCAAAAGCTAGGTGTTGAATAATAAGAAGTCAGAGAAACATGAATAAAATGCTTCGCTGAGAGCAGCCTGATACGACCGCAGAGGTCGAACCCTGAACAGTTGGTACAAATTTGGACACAATATTCAAGCTTGATACTGTCTGAATTTGGATTGTGATAAAATTTTTGACATAATATAGATTTCTGACACAAAATAAATGTGGTCAAAGATCTTACAAATCTATTGCGCAATACTGTGCAATTGAAGATTTCTTCTTGAAACTTTTCAAAAATTCAAAATTTGAAAAATTTTGAAAAAAAAAATATGAATCCTCTAAAAAAATTGGAAAAAAAATCCCCCCCCCCCCCCCAACTTTTTTAAAAACCCCTTGGAGCAATAACCCCAAAACTCGATCCCAGCCTTTCCTTTGTAGTATGGAACCTTGTAGTACAATTTCAGAGAGATCCATACACTTAAACACAAGTTATTGTCTGGAAACTAGAAAAATGCTTGTTTTTGGCCCTTTTTTGGCCCCTTATTCCTACATATTTGGGCAATTAACCCCAAACTCAATCCTAGCCTTCCCTTTGTGATATGGAACCTTGTGGTACAATGTCAGAGAGATCCATACACTTACACACAAGTTATTGTATGGAAACTAGAAAAATGCTTGTTTTTGGCCCCTTTTTGGCCCTTAATTCCTAAACTGTTGGCCCCATAACCCCTAAAATAAATCCCAACCTTCTACTTGTGGTATTAAACATTGTCGTACAACTTCAGAGCAATCGAAATACTTATACACAAGTTATTATCCTGAAACTAGAAAAATGCTTGTTTTGGGCCCCTTTTGGGCCCTAATTCCTAAACCGTTGGGACCATCATCCCCAAAATCAATCCAAACCTTCCTTTTGTGGTATTGAACCTTCTTAAAAAATTTCATAGAGATCCATTCACTTAAACTAAAGTTATTGTCAGGAAACCAATGTGTCTTCGGACGACAACGACGACGACATCATACCATTATACGATCACAAAAATTTTTTTGCGGTTGTATGAAAAATAAGCAAGAGAGAAAACAATTATAATACTTTTGCAAAACATTTTCGACAAAATGATTTGTTTTCTGTATGACAATTTGATTTTTTCGCAAAATGGTGATCATGGTGACCGCCAGCAAAAACCATGCATGCTGGTGTTATGCCTTGACCTACAATAAAATGTTACACGAGTTTCAAGTAGGTCTGCCATTACATGCAACAAAAGGTTTCCAAATAGATATTTAAATTATTTAATGACTTACAATGGGGAAAGAGTGCCAAAATATAAACTTCTTATGCTGGTATTTCAATGGCCTTGTTCTACACCTTGTACCGGTACATGTATCTGAACTTACTTGTGCATCAATAACAAAAATAATTGCCCCACATCCACCAAATATATTTTCTGGATCAAAATTTGCATCCATTGGATTAAATTGTCCTGGTAAATCCCAGATTTGAAACTGTACAAATGAACTGTTGGAAATATCTGTAAACAAACAATACATAAAGAATTATGATCCATAAAAAAATTATCCAACATAATGGAATATGGTAAAATAAATTATAAAGTGAGTAGATTAATTATGAATTTTCAATCAAAAAGAATTTTCCTAAAATGTTCATCAGATATTGAATCAATTTCTACAATAATTGAATTGTTATTACTTTGACATTTAGAGAAATTAATAAATGATGAATGCTATTCAACATCGACACATTTTGTTAGGCTTGGATTTTAAAATGCTGATAAATATGATGCAGATCACTGACTGATACCATGAAAGACTTTGGAAAACTGGATATCAATCCAGCTTTTGTTATCAGTAACAGTATCAGTTATTTTTTTTTCTGTAGATTAAATTATTGATGCTATAATTTATAGAAATCATTTTCCCTGTCAATACTAGCTAACATAATATAATAAACTGCTTCGCTGAGTGCAGCTGAATACGCCCGCAGAGGTCAAACCCTGAACAGTTGGGTCAAAAATGGACACAAAATTCAAGCTTGATACAGGTCTGAATTTGGATTGTGTTAAATATTTGACATATTATAGGTTTCTGCATAAATGAAGTCAAAGAACTTGAAATTGGTTATATGAATTGAATTTATATTCAATTAAAGATTTCTGGCTGTTGTGCAATACACTCTGCTGTTGCGCAATACTTAGTAAATCTGTTGTCAGACTATAAACAAATAAAGTTCAATTAATTCTCAGTCATATTAGAAATTTATGAAAATGTAAAGGGAGCTTACATCAATAGATATAAACAATTCACCAAAGTTTCATGAGAATTGCTGACAGCATTTTTGAGTTATTGTCCGAAAACTGGAAAATCCTCCCTTTTTTAATGAATAAAACCCCATAACTCAGAAATGTAAAATGTAAAATTTATAAAATTCTAAACGGAGCTTACATCAATAGATATAAACAATTCACCAAAGTTTCATGAGAATTGCTGACAGCATTTTTGAGTTATTGTCCATAACTCAGAAATGTAAAATGTAAAATTTATAAAATTCTAAACAGAGTTTACATCAATAGATATAAACAATTCACCAAAGTTTCATAAGAACTGCTGAAAGCATTTTTGATTTTTTCTCTGAAAACTGGAAAATCCCCCTTTTTTAATGAATAAAACCCCATAACTCAGAAACGTAAAATCTAAAATTTATAAAAAACAAAACGGAGCTCATGTCAATAGATATAAACAATTCACCAAAGTTTTATACAAATTGGTTAAAGCGTTTTTGAGTTAATGCCCGACATGGTGACGACGGACAGACGGACGGACAGACGGACAAGGGTATACCATAATACGTCCCGTAAACGGGCGTATAAAAATGTAGAGAAGGGAGAACTCTGAACAAAATCTTGATATGTAATTATCAATAAAAGGTCATTGAACTTTCATATTTCTGTTAAGTTATTTACAGTAATATCCCTTCGAACTAACTTTAAACAAAGTTTCTGCATCAGCCTGCCTCAAGTCAGGAATGTAATTCAGTGTTTGTCATTTGTTGCTGATTATCATGTTTGTTTTTCATTAATTGTTTTGTACATAAAACATGTCGTTAGTTTTCTCATTTGAATTGTTTTACATTTGTCATGTTTGGGCCTTTTATAGCTTGCTATGTGGTATGGCTGTTGCTCATTGTTGAAGGCTTTATATATGATGACCTAAAGTTGCTCACCTTCTACATGATATGGTCTCTGGTGGAGAGTTGTCTCATTGGCAATCATACCATATTTTCTTATTTCTATTTTTAATATGCAGTCCTTATTGGAGTTAAGCCATTTCAATTGATATTTTATTGTGTGTTTTTCTATGTTGTAATGTTACACTACTATTTCAGGTTAGGGTGAAGGTTGGCGCCTGTTAAAAACATTTAAACCCGCTGCATTTGTTTACACCTGTACTAAGTCAGGAGCCTGTTGTTTAGTGGTTGTCGTTTGTTGATGTGGTTCATAAGTGTTTCTCGTTTCTCACTTTTTTTATAGATTAGAATGTTGGTTTTCCTTTTTGAATTGTTTTACACTAGTCATTTTGGGGCCCTTTATAGCTTGCTGTTAGGTGTGAGCCAAGGCTCCGTGTTGAAGACCGTATAATGGTTTACTTTTACAAATTATGACTTGGATGGAAAGTTGTCTCATTGGCACTCATACCACATCTTCTTATATCTACTTATTGTTTGCATTATCATGTCCTCCAGATCTCGGTTCAGTTATCTGGTTCTAATTATTTTTCTGATTCTAATCCTAATATCATACCTTCTTTTACTATTTTATTTGTACTTTCTAGGAATAATGTTTCATTTGGTGAAACTTTGTGAAAGACAACTTTCTGTATAGATGATTTTCCACTTCTGAAAACAGAAAATATATCGTATAATTTTTAAAAAGAAAATGTACATTAAATCTATCACTTGACCAGGGCTTCCAAAATTATTTTTAGCCAGCCGGACATTTTATATATTATCCCGATTTTAATCCCTTAAGACTAAATAAACAAAAGGTAATTATGGTATTCAGTTGCAGAGTTGGCCATCCCAAATTTTTTATGATTGACATTAAAAAAAAACGATATTAAACTTTCTTTGATTCAAATTCGAAGTTCTGACGTAAACTGTTAAATTGGCAGTGCATAATTCGAAGTGTGCAACATCAGCGTACTTATATCTGCCTTAGACTCTTTATTTGTGCAAAATAACGTTGTCAAAAACTTTACTTTCGTTTTTAAATCTAATCCGGATGTTATCTTGACAATGGTAAAACATGGACCAGAGACGGATACGTAAATTCCGTGTACGTTTGCAAAGCTTGAATGAGTGTACGTAGCTCTTTCTACGTTATTTCTTCAAGAAAATATTCGAAATAAACGTGAGATAAAGGTATCAATGACAATTTAAGCATTTTTTGAAGAAATTAGGATGCATAATTAAATTTCACACCTGCCCACATGCGCACACGTGTACTAGTTCAAACAACGTGGTTATGACGATTTTTCATTTTCACCTTTTTATTTTTTTCATCAAATCATATTTGTAAACGTATTTCTGATAATTTAAATCTTTTTGACTAAATTAATTAGATGCAAACCGCTGAAATGTAAGAAAATAACTTTGAATAGACTGATCAATGTCCGGTTCAAAATAGTTTACCTGTCACCTGAACAGGTAAATTTCAGCTGTTCGACAACTAATTAGCCTTGATTAAAATAAGAAGGTATTAAAGTAGGGGATGTTTTGATAGTACTTAATGATCATGTCACTTTTATGACCGGAAATGTGTGGCTGTTAAAGGCAAAAGGTTGGGTCAAAAAGATCGCGAATTATGTTAAAATGACCGTCTCTTAAGAAAGCCTTGAAAACTAAAAAGTAGATGACCGTTTCATGCTTTGCCCAGCCGGACTTTTACCGGACATTATACAAATGTCCGGAATATATGACCGTTTTGGAAGCCTTGCACTTGACCGTCTATTTAAAGTTCATCCACACTTCTTTCTCTTTGTGCTTATCCCACTTGATTTTAAAAAGATTCTTGTGTGTAAAATAACGTACATGATGTACTAATATTTAAGTGTAAATCCCAAAAAGACTAATACTGTAGATTGATTGATTGATTGCTAATTGGTAATGAACACTACTTTCAGCACATTTGGCTATATCTTGGTGGACAGTTTTTCTTGGTTGAGGAAGTCTGAGTATATATATATATGCATGCAGACATTACCATGATTACCAGCAACTTTCGAAAAATCACTAGCAACAATGTTTAAATTTTTTGGCATCTTATGTTTACTGTAAAATTACAAATAATTTTAAAAAGTAATAACAAAAATATTGAACTCCAAGGTAAATTCAAAAAGTGGGACGTACATAAAACTGACAAAATATATTAGACTATCAACTAACAGAATGAATGATAAATAACCAGTCTGCACCGTTAGCCACTAGTCTGATGCCCAAGACCAGTAAAACTTTATTTGCAATATTTTGTTTAGACTACATAAGAAAAATATTGGAATATTGGTCTTCGGACTTATAGTTGGAAAGATTTTGGTGCAGATTGAATAACTGTCATATTTCTGACTTGGCACAAGCATTTTACCTAAGAAACTGATAGTTTAAACCTGGTTTTATAGCTAGCTAAAACCTCCGACTTGTATAACAGACTTTATTACCTTGGTAATCCCATCAATAAAATTCTTGGTTTTTGTTCTGTTGCAACTGCTTGAATATCTGTATCATTCTCATCTGGACCATATCCAAAACCCCTTGGAAAAGACCCCGGGTCTTCATCAGCATACGAAGACTGAAAGATAAAATAAAAGGATTCATTGTATTAAAAAAAATCTTGGTTTGTAGGGACATATCAGGATGTGCCAATGAGACAGCAATCCAACCTCTTGAACAACCAAAAGAGTTTGATATGCAGTATTCAACAAATGGAAGATGTTTATTATTATATATGCAATACATGTATGTCAAATGCTAATGGCAGTCATGACCAAAACATTTAGGAAAAATTCATATAAACGCAATTGAAGGCCATTCTTTTAAAAAGATATAAAAAGAAGTTTTTTGTTTTACTCAGTCATGAAAGTGTGTCAAACTGGAATACAAAAGATTGTTTTTGTCATTTTTGACAATCTCTATCAAAGTCAGAATGTTTCCCTACTAATAAATCCCTTTTGGGATTTTGTGTCGGGAATGATTTTCTGATTTGTCAACCGTCAGAATCCCTTTTCAAGCCCTATTAACATTATATTCAGGATAGTTTTTAACAACTACCTACCCCTGTCTAAAACAGATAAAAACTTTTTCAAAAAACATTAATTTTTGCCTGCATAATCAACCCCAACATATAAATAGAAACTGAAGTTGTTAAACTAGGCCCATCAATCTAGAATAAAAAAAATGAAGTTTGCCAATTTGCTTTATAAATAAATATTCATTGTACATGCATGTATAAATAAAAAAATTGAGTTAAGGAATTTTACTATCAATTGAGCTCATGTTTGCATCAGCATGATCAGTTGCCCAAATGACCAAATAACAATTGCAAAAATCTTCCAATACAGCCACTATTTTTCTGTGACTTCATAACTTTTTTGTTGTGGTGATGTGGAAAAACCTTCTATTTCCTTCAATTGGGGACACTAAAAACTGGTATATTTGATGTATTTACAAAATAGATACTTCCCCTCGAGTCTGCTTATTTTGTTCGCCGCAGCTTCATTGTAAGTCAGTTCATTCTGATAACATAACAAACAATTACTGAATTAACGTGCTACAAGTAGAAGTAGATGCTTTCATGTTGATCCGTCCCTAAGTCGTTCCGTCCCAAGTCGATCCGGCCAAAGTTGATCCGGCCCTATATTTAAAGTCGTTACGGCCCAAACATCAAAAATATTTATATCAAATAAGGAATAAAAATAAAGATATATATGAATTCAGTGTCATAAATGTTTATGAATTTTATAATAATATAAAAGGAAAATGAAAGGTGGACGGTAAAAAAGTTGGCCTTTGACGAATATTTTAATATTAAATTTTCATAAGATGAGACATTAACCCTTTAGCCCCCAATCCTGCCTGTAGGCGTGATGGCGACAACCATTCTTTGATGGCCCGTATGACCCTCCATACCTTTTTTGAACTGCCCCAGCTGAACTGTCATGATAGCAGAGACTTCAATCAAGCAGTTCATGGTCCATAAACTCTTCTCAGATGTCCGTTCATGAAAATATGGCACTTTGAAAGCCGTTTAAGAGTTCAAAATCGGAAAACGTGAAAAGTAGCCAAAATCAGGTGGGGGTGGGCATCTTTTGATGGCCACTACGTAACTGGTAGTGACTGTAGGTATAAACTATTATCATAAATGCATGCATAGGTGGTACAGGAACACAACAAGGTATAATATGGCCAATAGGAATCTAGTCTGTAAAATCTAGGTCACCGTTTTATCAAAAATCCGTAAAAACGGACATGTAGGCAGACCTGACTTGACAATAATAATTCCCCAGAAAGACACTTAAGTCCAATATACTCCCAGTTAGCATGAATGGACTGCTGTAACTATAGGGTAATACTTGAATGACAAAGAAAAACAGTCTGGTCAATGTTCACCTCTCAAGATCGTTTTAAAATCGGAAAATAGACGGAAAATTAACATTTTTCAGTGGGGGTGGGTTCAAACCCACGAGAAAAATGATGCTGCTTTACAAACAGTACCAATCATACTCATTTTTGTATCGATTTAAAATTATTCATTATTTTATTATGGGCCGGATCGACATGGGACGGATCGACTTGGGACAGATCTACTTTGGCCCAGATCGGTTTGGGTCAAGAACCACCTGATAGTGATACCCAAGTAGATTTGGTGAGCACTTAAAATCAGAAAAAAAATGCTCTGAATAGCTGATCTCTGAACCCTGTTGCATATATCATTCAATTCCATCTCCGCCTGACAGTAATTTGTACTAATTAAATTTCTGAGACATGCTTATAACAACGTTATGGTCCACTAAACTTAAGGTACATGTAAATATAGAGTGAAGGATAAAACTTTCGTTTACGTAGGATGGTATATCTTGTAACAACATCTAAAGGTAATCAAAGTTCTTAAGCCCTTCGGAAAAAAATATAATTAAATGTCTCTTTCTTATAACAAATAATGTTCTTCCTATGATAATTATTTAAACCCCTGCGTAGAAAACTTAAAACAGTTTATTTTTTTCAGGAGCATGACACTCACCATTTTGTCAGGTCATGTGACAATGTTTGTAGTAATCTCTAAAGTGTACAAGTTATGTTACAATTTGATATTAAAAATAAATAATGATACAAGTGTGTTGGAAATAATGATTCAGTTCTGAACTGGTTCATTAAAAAAATCCAATGTAAAATCAATTTTGTTTAGAGATTGCAAGAAAAAATATGGCAGCCTCCACAAAAAATTTGACACTGAACAATGTTTGGTTTTAACGCGGAACAAGGCATGATCTGTGGTAATTTTATTGTATGAACTAATTAAAATTTAAAGGACAGTTGGAAATCACTAAAATTGAGCTCTCTAAATTTTAGTTTGTTCAAGGTCTTGAACTTGAGCCCGAAATATTTCCACTGAATCTGTCTTTTGTTTTGATCTGTAAATTTAGAAAGCTTAAAAAATAGTTATAAAATGGCCAATCATGGCAATTGAAAGGATTACAAGGATGGAACAGTTGACCTTATTGCTATGAGGGAATCTCAATCTTGACCCTGAGAACTCACGACTCTTAACCCACTTGCTGCCAGAGGGAGAATTCTAGACAGTTCGGTACCCAGACAAATCGGCATCCGGACAAATCGGCACCTAACATAGACAAATCGGCACCCGGAAAGACAATTCGGCACCCAGACAAATCGGCACCTTATAAATTATTTATCTTTGATCTAAATGTAGTGAACCAAAAATTAAAACCGCCTGTCTATACTGATCTCTTGGAATACCTAAAAAAACACAAAATTTTAAAATCATCGTCAATCAAACATACATGTTATGTATTGTAAATAGTACTTTATTTCATATCGTTTAATGTATTATATTCATACAATTTAATAGTCTCTTAATATTCCGTGTAGAATTAAAATTACACAATATACACTTTCTGTTTTCTCTTTCTACGATAAACGATAATTTAATGCTAATACATGAGACTTAAATAAACGATAATTTAATGCTAATACATGAGACTTAAATAAAACATTGAATTGAATTGTCAAAATTAACAAAAGTTAAAGATTATTACGTCAAGAACAATAATACTTGGTAGATATTGTAATGCACGGATTCATAAGCTGGACAAACCAGAACAAAAGTATATTCATCTCCAATAAGACACATATTATTGTAACGACCAACTTCAACATTTAAAAATTCCCAATCAGGTTAATTCAATTATCTAGCTACTAATCCAATCAATTATTATATGTTAATTAGCTCGTTCTGGCTCGTGGCAATAGATAACTGTTAATACATAGGAACTATATAATATATTATACTTTATTGCAAAAAGTGAAACATTGCAAACATAATATACACAAGTGACAAGAAACATACAATGTCAATGTTAAACAAGTCAAGTTGATATTAATAATATATTATAAGAATATATTATAGGTATATAGATAAATGACCAATGTGGACCTTATTTTCGCAATTCTAGAATAGTTTAAAGTTTGAGTCAAGCTAGTTACAATAGGTATAATGGGTTTTAATTGCATTTATAGGGGGATTTCTAATATTACTATTTATTTGGCAATAATGAAAAGTTTCCCTTTACTCCCTTATGTACAAATGCTATTAGCTCTATCTGAGATTGGCTCCAGTATGGAAATGAAAAGTATGCAAGGAGAATTTGGGTTATAATAATTTATAATAATTAAAAATATTAAAAAGCCACTTACCACTGTTGCATGTTCTATGTTGCCACTTTTGACAGCCATCACATTGTAAAGCTTCTTGTCTAGGGCGCACAACATTGTGGCACTGTATACAACTTTTTTTTTTTTTTTTTTTTTTTTTTTTCTTCTTTAAATGAGCACTCAGACTGAAGGGTTTAGAAATTAATTTTAACACAATAATCACAATATGACTTAAGTTATAATTACAAAAGTAATAATTAGTATAGAATATTAATAATTAAGAGTTGTTATAGAGTGTTGAACATATATGCAAAGAAAGAAGCTGGGTTTGGGCTTAACTTATTACCGGATTTCCAGAGAGTTACCATTAGCTATGTTTTAACCAAATAATTAGAAATAATGTATTCAAAATATTATTAGGATACAGGCCTCAACCTTCCTTCTCATGTTGGTGGAAGAGGTATATGTGGCCAAATTATGTCATCATTGTGCTCCGAACATTAAGAGTATTTTATTGAAAAAATATAACATATACACACAAATTATAATAAATAAGTATCATACTTCACTAAATGAAATTATTTTTATCTAAGAATATATCTCTATTTCTATGAAATGTAGTGTTAAGAGTATGAATTAAACCACCGGAATTGATAATATAACTAATTTGATAAACTGAATAAACATATGCATATATTGATGGGAAAAGTTCCCATGGTATCTTAAATAACAAACAGTTTAATTCATTTAAAACAAAAGTTTCATCATTTATTTCTATTCTAATGAAGTCATTTATATATTTTCGAAATAGTCTTAATTTGTTACAATGTAGCAGTAAATGCTTTAAGGTTTCATTTTCCGAGTTACAGAAATAGCATTTCGGAGAAACGTTACTATAATTTCTTCTTTTTTGATTATCTTTAGTAGGAAGAGCATTATGCACAACTCTATAAATAAAATCTTGCTGGTAATTGCTTGTGATATTTCTAATATTACACCATATATTTGTGAAATCGACATAGCTGTACTTTATTTCAATTTTATGTTTATGATTATCTATTTCGAGAATTTTCTTATAAATATTTTTGGGGTTGCAACTTTGTAGGTCAATTTTATTCTTATAATTCATTAAGAGAACTTTTAATTTTGTGTAAACTCTTGGTAAGATCATCGTGTGTTGGTAATTATTATTTCCTAATTCTGAATTAATTTCCCTTAATGTATAACCTAAGTAATATATCATAAAGCATGTCCAAACAGATTTATTTCCTTGTAAGAAAATTGTTACTCTTTGAAGAAGCATGGCATCTATTTTCAGATTTATATTTGGTATTTGTTGTCCACCTCTATTATACATTTGTGATAAAGACTTTCTATTTATATATTCCGAATTACGCCTTCCCCAAAATAAAGTATAAATATATCTATTTATTTGTGTGAGATATTCAGGTAAAGGGGACACAACTCTAGCAACAAATAAGATTTTACTAATGATATAAGTATTTATAACAATGAGTTTATGTTTAATATTTAGCTTTCTATTTTCCCATTTATTTACTGTATTTTTTATACTATGGATAATTGGTAGCCAACTTTTACTTTTACTTTCCTTACCAAACCAAATTCCTAGTGTTTTAACGCTCTCCTTAGTTAAAAGCTTTAAACAAGTGTCTTCTTCTGGGGCATTACAAATACTTAGTATTTCCGTTTTGTTTTTATTTATTTTTGCTCCTGATGCTTTACCAAATTTTTCGAATTCATTCATAAACAAGTAATAATCTTTAATATCTGTTGTAATTGTTGTACAGTCATCCGCATGTTGAAAAAGTTTTATGGGATCTTTTAAATTTGGAATGTTAATACCTTTTATTTTTTTATTTGTTCTTATTGAACTTGCCAGTGTTTCAATAGCTAAAGCATATAAATTCATGGAGAGCGGGCAGCCTTGTCTAACTGATCTTGTAATTAAAATTTCTTCTGTTAACTGACCATTGACTTGAATTTTACTTTTTATATCTTTATATAGTATCTTAATCCATCTAATAAATTCTACTGGAAGGTTCATTTTCTTTAAAACTTTAATAAGAAATTCATGTTTAATCTTATCAAATGCTTTTTCTTGGTCAAAATTTATTAAGAAACCTTTTATATCGTTCAAATTCATATAGTCGTAAATGTCTGAAATTGAAATAATATTATCAAAAATATTCTTTTCTTCACCGGCTCCTGTTTGTTTTATATCAACTAGTTTATTTATTACTTTAGATAATCTTTTAGCTAAAGTTTTAGTGATTAATTTATAATCAAAGCATAATAAGCTTATAGGTCTCCATTGTTTTAGGTCTTTTTTATCCCCTTTATTTTTATAATTTAGCGTGATTATACCCATTTTCATTGTTTCGGTTAATTCCCCTTTTAAATATATATTATTTACAATTTCAACTACTTCATCTCCAATTATATTCCAAAATTTTAGATAAAATTCTTTACCTAAGCCATCTATACCTGGTGATTTATTGTTTTCGAAATCGTTAATATTATTTAGACATTCTTCTTTGCTTATAAATTGGTTTAAAACTGACCAATCTTCCTCGTTTAGTTTATTTAATTCTATTTTCCCTAGATATTCATCAACCTCTTGATCATTAAAGCCATCAGAAGTATATAGCTCGGAATAAAAATTTAGAATTATTTGTATTATTGAATTTTTTTCGTCAGTGGGTTTATTGTTTATATCAAATAGTGATTTTATTTCCTTCTTTGTGCCTCTTTTTTCTTCTGCTATTTTAAAGATTTCAATTTTTTCGATATCTTCTTTATAAAAACACTCTCGTGATCTGATTAATGTTCCCATTTTCTCTTTTGTTTCAATTGCTATTATTTCGTCCTTAATTGTATTTATTATAGTGCAATTTTGAGAGGGTTTTGCTTCTTCAACTATTAGAGAGTCATATAACTTATTCAACTTAGATTTACTAATTTTTGTTTGGACCCTTGAGAAATTAATTGTTGTTTCTTTTATTTGTTTTTTTAGGATATCCCAACCTTTTAGAGGGTCATATTTCAGTTTATCTTCTCGCCATTGTTTAATAATATTTGATATTAATATGGTATAGTTTTCATTTTCAAGTAAGCTATTATTCATTTTCCAAAAACCACGACCCCATTTTTGCCGCTTATATTGTATGCTAATCTGAACAATTTTATGATCTGACTTTTTATACGGAATATGTTTAATTTCTTTAATTTTATCAATAAATTCATTATCTGCGTAGAACCTGTCAATTCTAGTACGAGTACCAGAGATGTTGTAGCACGTAAAATTTGCCTTGTCGTTATGTATTTCTCTAAAAACATCTTTAATTCTTAAAGCATCTTTAATACTTTTAAATTTATCTAGTATATATTTGTTAAGTCTGCAATTCATGTTATTTGAATCTATTTTGTCTTCTATGAAATTAAAATCTCCAGTCAATATATACTTATTTTTTGTACTATATTGTTCTAGATTTGAGACATAGTTTAGCAGAATGTCATAGAATAATCGTTGTTCCTCCCTCAAACCACATTGTGGTGCATAAAGGTTTAGAAGATTTATGAC